ATTATTCAAAATAGTAATTTCTGGAATGAAATTCAAAATCTATTAGTTATTTTAAAAATTTTAGCTAATGGAATAACTAAATTTGAAAGTGATACCTCTAGAATATCTGAATTTTATAAATGGTATGAAGATCTTGAAACAAATGAAGGTAAGAACTAAAATTTTAAAATTTATAATTAATATTTAGAATTTTAAAATCTTTAATAAATAATTTAAAAAAAATAGATATCTTTATATATTTAATTTTATTTTTATACTTTTATAAATAAATAATTTATAAAAATATAAAAATAATAAAATTAGAAATATAAAAATATTAATTCTTTAATTTAATTATTATATTTTATTAATATATTTATTATTTTTTATAGATTTAAATAAAAGTTTAGCTTATGAAATAATTATTGATATTATTACTAAAAGATGGAATATAATTTATGATCCTGTAATTGAAATAGCATATTTATTAGATTCAAGATTTCAAGGCAAAAATTTATCTAATGATATTATGACAATAGTATCTGATTTTATTGAAAAATTTTATCCTGAAAATAGTACAAAAATTTATGAACAATTATTAGAATATTTAGCACATACTGGTCCTTTTAATAATAATTTGGCTTGGGAAACTGTTTATACTACTAATCAATTAACATGGTGGACTGGAAATTTTAAAAATTCAGCTCCAGAACTTACACTATTTGCTAAAAGAATTTTAACTATTCCTACATCATCTGCTTCATCTGAACGTAATTGGTCTATATTTGCTCATATTCATTCAAAAAATAGAAATAGACTTAAATCTCCAAAAATATTAAAATTAGTTTATATTTATAGCAATTATAAACTAAAAAAATTACAATCTATTAATCAAAAAAAATTAGATTATATAAAAAATAAATCTAATTTAGATGATAATTTTTGGGAAGATTTTTTTACTAAAAATGAAGATAACTTAGATTTATTAGATGAAGATAATGAATTGGATTTATTATATGAAGATGAATCTGATTTTTTAAATAAAAGTGAATTAGAAATGGAACTAGAAGCAAGTGAACTTAATGAAATTTAAAATTTTGATAAAAATTTTATATAATTAAATAACAAAATTAATTATTAATAATAAAATTATTTATTATTAATATTTAAAAATTTAGAATTACAAAAAATTAAAAAAAAACTAAAAAAAAATTAAAATTAAAAAATTAAAAAAAAATAATAAAAAAATAAAATAAAAAAAAAATAATAAAAAAATAAAAATAAAAAAAATAAGGCTATACAAAATTTAATTTTTTAGTTTTTATAATATAGAACTTTTAAACAAATTTTAAATTTTTAAATTTAAATCTAGTTAGATTATAAAACCAATTAATTAATTTTGTATAGCCTAATAAAAAATAAAAAATTAAAAAAATTTAAATTAAAATTGGCAAAATCTATTATATTTAAATTTAATAGAAATGATTATATTATAAAATTGGCAAAATTTGATTAAGATTTTTTTGATTTTATTCTAAAAATATTTAGAATACTAATAAGATTTTTTTATGATTTATAAAATTTGTTATTTTATATTTATATAATTAACAAAATTAATATATTGTTTAAATAAGTTATAAGCTAATAAATATAATTATGAATATAAGCTAATAAATATAATTATGAATATAAGCAATAAATATATTTAATAAGAATTTTTATGATAATTTAAATGTTATTTTTAAAAATTAATTCTAGTTGAAATTATATAATATAATCTAAAATATGATTTATTTATATAAAATAACAAAATTAAAGTTAAAAATCTGCTATAGTATAAAAACTAGAAATATATAGGCTACACAGCATATGCAGGCTGTATAGCAGTTTTTAAAAATTTTCAATTTTCCATCCCTACATATGAAAGATTAGGAGTCAAATCTTACTCAAATTTGATTTCTATCTAAAAATTACCAAGATTTTATAGAAATGATTAGAAATTTATATATATTTTGTTCTGAAAATAAGCATTTCCAAAATGATAATATGAAAAAAGTCAGGATACATTTTTCAAAATTTTTTTATAGAGATAGGCTGTGCAGGCTGCGCAGGCTGCGCAGCCTGCGCAGCAGTTTTAAAAAATCTTCAATTTTCCCATCCCTAGTGATAGCTTCATCTAATGGGTTAGTGTTCTTTGTATGCGACATTTTAGGTAGAATTGAATATTAGATGAAAAGAAGTAATTTCATTGAAACGTTGAGTGTAGCGCCTTTGGTAACCCATATTAAAATTGTCATCTAATATGTAAAAACAAGAGTTATTTGTGCTAGTAATACAACTCAAAAAAGGGTAAATAAGGGCACGAAAACAGGGGAACCGTTAATACAACACAAAAAAGGAAATTTGATTTTATAATAAACAAAACACAAATTTAGTGTTAGAACGTTAACTTTAGAAGCTATATCTATAAACTATTGCCCATTATATGTAAAATTACGTTCCCGACATTTTTTTCTTCTTTCGTACGTGTTCACTGATTGGCTATTTCCTATTCAGAGTTTGTATTACTGGCACAAATAAGTAGAGCATTTAAATCCTCTGTAACGCAACTCTACTTGTGTTACTAGTACATCTTCGCCACATTTGTCAGTTAAGAAGTCCCGGATTCTTAACCTATTCCCTATAGGACTTCTTTATTCTCGAGGCATCGTTGCTAGAGCTTTTCCATACCCACAATCCGGCTAACCTAGCCGGGGAACCGTCACATCACTTGTAGACCTGTTACACAATGCATAAAGTACTTATCCTACCTTGAAACGTGAGTATCTCTCCAAGTAAATTTGAAGGTTTCATGCAGTACTTTAATAATATCGGTTGAATCCACTTGAATCCAACAACTTTCATATGACGATTTATCTTACAAAGATGTATAGGCAAATAAGTAATTTATGAGAGACCAAACTACAAATTCTAGACGTTGAGTAATAAAAAAGGCTAAAAGCAACGATTCGTCAAAGCAATATGGGTTTGAATGTGAGTTTATATGATTTGTTTTTTATGCGCTTATAAAAAAAGACTTTAAAAGCTTGAAGTTAATATGAACTGACTATATATATATTACTTTTATTTTCGTATAATAAGACAGGGTAAAAAATGTGAATGAATATGAATATGAGGCGTGTCAAAGTTGAATATAAACTTTAAAAGCTTTATTAAGATAATGTTGTATTATTAGAGTAATCATGTAAGATATCTGGCTTCTAGATTAGACATATGAAAGGCTATTTAAGTTCCTATAGATAATGATATTAGTAGTTTGTTATTAGTTAATAAATAAACAGAATAATTATACGCTTGCCTACTTCGCAGAATAATATAGCGCTTGCTTATTTTACAGAATAATGTAAGGCGCTTATTCTAAATTTTAGATTCATTTGAGTTTCGATTTTACTTTGATGATTTGATTGGCTGATTGCCATGTGACAATCTATGAACTTCGTGTAACATCGAATATTTCCCACCGTGATACAAACCTATTGTATGTAGATCACAAGATCAGGTGAATGTGAAATTTGTCGGTATTTTTTAAAATATCGAAATTTTGCTTAAAAAAACCGCCTTTTATGTTCTAATAAAAAAATTTCCTTGCAAAATTTTAGTATAATCTCTGCCCTTTCTAACCCTAAAAAGACCCTAATATGACTCTAAAGTTAAAGCAAATTTACGGCAACTAGAATGTTTATTTTTGTCTGTGTTACGGTTAATGATGGGCGACAAATTGACGAAATTTGACAAATATGTATTTCGTCAATTTCGTCAATTTCGTCATTGCGAAAATAATTCCGTTACCCATCTATAGTTACCAGTGTTGTTTTTTAGCCATATGAACTGTCTGATTTAGCCCAATTAGACTTAAGGCTAAGCCTAATTAGACTTAAGGTTAAAGGCTAAATAAAAGTACTAGCCTTAAGGCTAGTAACAACACTGATAGTTACGGTATGAAACAAGTTATTCCCTGTACAGGTACGTACGTACCATACAGATACCGATGACCGTTACCGAATAAATACAAATTAAATCCGAAACTATAAACAATGCAACAATCGAAACAACCGTATTACAAATAATAATGACTCATTATGAATCACATAACAACGCGAAATCACTCACCGGAACTCAAAATTAACACGTAGCTTAGGAACATTATAGAAAAATTATAATAAATCAATCAAACAATAGAATAGTGTAACAGTTAATAATGCCTGACGAAAACTCACGTGACCTTACGAAACTATGAGTTTCGTCAATTCGTCAACGGCAAAATAGTGTCGTCAAGCATCTATAATAACAATGACAGGAATGGAATGATTAAATCAC